TGCACAAACAGCAATGCTGAAAGCTTCATTTTGAATAGAGCTCCCTACTCAGAGACTGAGCCGTTCTTTCTGTCAGAGTGTATTGCAAGGAGCCAGTTTTGCACTGGCCGAGCCCTTAGTGTGCTGGAATTACTAAACTGGGCTCCTGGCTTGTACATATCAGCCGTCTTCTTCCTAGCTTTCCTCATTGCAGAAGCATTTTCTCATTCTCCCCCCCCCCCCCAATCCTTTCCCCCTACATGTGGTCCAAGTCTCATAGCTGCTGAGCATTCAGGGCTTTAAAAAAATTTTTTTTAGAGCAGTCAGTTTTGGGGGGAAGTGTTACTGCATTTGGTTGTGCCATCCTTATTAAATCAACACTGGAGCATGGGAATACATTTAAAACTGTGCCTTACTTAAGGAAACAGACACCCCTTCCTTAATTTTTTATCCTGCAAGCAAGAAATGGGGATCATTAGCAAGATGAGCAGAAACTAGAAAAGAGAAAAGTACAATCCACAGCATTAACAAGTGGAGGCATCCTGCCACGACTGTTCTTCTTCCATTCCTATTTCCTCTCCAGAGGCAGAATGCAGTAGATGGGTCATGGCCTAGGGCTCTTTTTGTAGCAGGAACTCCTTTGTATATTAGGTGACACACCCTGAATGTAGCCAATCCTCCAAGAGCTTACAGTAGCCCCTGTAAGAAGAGCTCTGTAAGCTCTTGGAGGATTGGCTACATTAGGGGTGTGTCACCTAATATGCAAAGGAGTTCCTGCTACAAAAAGAGCCCTCATGCTATGTTTTCTCTTGTTTGATTAAAGAGCCTGCTGGGGCCTGTGCTTATACTCAGGGAAGTAGGTGCTTGTGCTGTTATGTATATTATTTTTTAAAAACTGCTACCATCATTGGTCTAAGACCATAAGAAGAACCATGCAGGATCAGACCAAAGGCCCATGCAGTGATCAACCAGCTGCCTCTAAGCAGGATGACTGCAACAGCATCCTTCTGCCAGTGTTCTCCAGCAACTGATGCAGAAAGGCACACTGCCTGTAGTACTGGTGGGAGAAGGTATCCATCATGACCAGTAGCCACTGATAGCCCCGTCCTCCTTGAATTTGTCCACGCCCCTTCCAGGTTGGCAGCCATCACCACATCCTGTGGCAGTGAGTTCCACACCTTAACTATGTGCTATGTGAAGAACTTCCTTTTGTCTGTCCTGAGTCTCCCACACTTCGGCTTCAGTGGATGAGCCAGTGGATGATCTGGGGCCTGGAGACCAAGCCCTGTGAGGAAAGGCTGAGGGACTTGGGGATGTTTAGTCTGGAGAAGAGGAGGTCTGAGGGGGGACATGATTGATTGCTCTCTTTAAGTATTTGAAGGGCTGTCACATAGAGGAGAGCAGGGAGCGGTTCCTGTTGGCAGCAGAGGATAGGGCTCACAATAATGGGTTTAGATTAAGGGCGGGAAGGTACTGGCTGGATCTTAGGAAAAGCTTTTTGACAGTTAAGAGTTGTGCAACAGTGGAATCAGCTGCCTAGGGAGGTGGTGAGCTCCCCCTGACTGGCAGTCTTTAAGCAGCAGCTGGAAAAACACTTGTCAGGGGTGCTCTGAACTGATCCTGCACTGAGCAGGGGGCTGGACTAGATGGCCTCTATGCCCCCTTCCAAACTCTGTTGTTCTATGATTCTATGAGGTTCTAGTATTATGAGAGAGGGAGAAAACCTTTTACCTATCCACTTCCTCCATGCAATGCATAATTTTATAAGTCTCTGTCACCCTTACTCACCTTTTTTCTAGGCTAAACAGCCCTAAGGGTTTGGGCTGATCCTCAGAGAGCAGCTGCTTTAGCCTCCTGATCATTTTGATTGCTGTTTTCTGCTGGCAGATCCTTACCAGCTGATTGCAGGCTGTCTGGCGGATCCTTGCTAGCAGGGGGCAATGTGTACCCCCTTTCAGGCCCCAGACTGAGCCAGAAAGAGGTTTCCTTCATCCTTCTCCACCTCTCTCCTGACCTTCCTCCTGTCAACATGAGGAGCAAGAGCTCTTGGCAAATTTGCCTTATGAAGGTCCTGGCTTGCCCTTGGGTCAGCACCCTTGGAGGCTCCACCCCTCTGGAACTCCCACAGGATCTGAGCAATTCCTGTGGGAAGCTGCCACCGCCTCCACATCTCAGCCATGACTTATCTCCTCGGAGTCAAAGAGGAGGAACTGCTGCAAGGACCATAACTGGCTGCATTCCCTAACAAGCCTCAGGCACACATTCGGATACTAAAAGCCATTGCTGAAAATATACAAATTAGTTCTTCCTCAGTTCAACATACTGGTTTTGCAAAAAGGAATAACATAAGAACATAAGAGACGCCAATGTTGGATCAGGCCAAAGGCCCATCCAGTCCAACACTCTGTGTCACACAGTGGCCAGAAATACCAGGTGCCATCAGGAGGTCCACCAGTGGGGCCAGGACATTAGAAGCCCTCCCACTGTTGACCCCCCCCCCCAAGCACCAAGAAGACAGAGCATCACTTGCCCGAGAGTCCCTATCTATACCTTGTGGCTAATAGCACCTGGGGGACCTCTGCTCCATATGCTTATCTAATTCCCTTTTGTATTCGTCCATGCTTGTAGAAGCCACCACTTCCTGTGGCAGTGAATTCCAAGTGTTAATCACTCTTTGGGTGAAGAAGTACTTCCTTTTATCCGTTCTAACGGAATGGTAAAGAATATTCAAAGGATCAGCAGCCCAAGTCCTGATCCATGTTACTATAACCCCAGAACTTGACTGTTGTAACATACTCTACCTGGGGCTGTCCTTTGAGATGACTTGGAAACTGTACTGTAATTCGTTCTTACGCAAGCGTAAAGATGGGGTGCTTTCCCAGGGCACTATCTATCTACTTTCCAAGAGGCTATGTTGCCATCCTGTTCTTGTGCAAAGGGGAACTTGTGGGTAAGAGAAGTCGTATATGTGCCTGTCTGAAATACATCTCCCTGTGTGAGTTCTGCTTTGTTCATAAGTAAATTGAAGAGGCATTCAACTATTGACTTGTCACTGTTTCTAGTACTGCATAGTCATTCTTAAAGTACTTAAAAAAACAACCCTATCACATCAAAACCACAATCACCCTTGCTGGTTAACTCCAAGAACCTGAGACCATCGCCAGAAGAGAACATGTCCAAAAGGAACTTGGATTTGGACTGCATCATTTCCCCAAAGACAGGAAGTTCCAGAACTGGGGAGTGGCCACTGAAAGTGCCCAGACAGCATGTTCACCTTGGGTGTTTCTGCTTTGCTTTCATCACCAGGGCAAATGCAGAGGCAAGGGGGTGGTGGTGGGAGTAATCTGCATACTCTCCATCCATTTTCCAACTTTTCTGTTCCATACATGCTCTGCAGCTACCCCACGCTGGCTGTTGGGAGTATAGTCATCATGCCATGGCAACTCATCACCCCCTTTTTCCCTGTGTTATCCTTTACATGTGCTATAGTACTATAGTGGCACTATTAAACTTTGAAATGGAAACCGTTAAGGAGCCATAGATAATTATAATGCTATAGAAAGCAACTACTGGTTGAACTTAGCAGAGTCAACGTTAAATATAAATTCTAGAAAAGGAAACCATTTCAATAGAAGGTTTGATTCCCTGTTAGACATGTTAGCACTAGCAACAACATCAGATATTTTATCCATTGCATAATATTCCCATAACTTTATACGCCAAGAAGATAATAACAATTTATTTGGAGACTTCCAACTACCAGCAATTGAGCAAATTTCAGAGGACGGCAGAAGACAGGAAGGCCTGGCGTGATCTGGTCCATGGGGTCGCGAAGAGTCGGACTCGACTGTGCGACTGAACAACAACAAACTACCAGCAATGACTACTTTTGCAGCCATCAATAAAACTGATATAAGTTCTTGTCTAAGTTTAGGAACATGCTTGTCATTCCAATAATCTAAGAGAATAAGTTCGGGCTGCATAGGAAGCAAATAACCAGGGATGTCTTTTATCGACAAAATTATTTTGGACCAGAATTGTTGAACATAAATACACGACCACCAACAGTGAAAAAATATACCTCGTTTGCCACATGACCTCCAACATAGAGGGGAGTTCAGATTGGATATTTTATGAAACTTGGTAGGTGTAAGGTACCATTTCTGAGGGACTGGTTCTGTTGACAGGTGGAAAAACCCCAGTTTTGTACCTAAGGAAAAATGAGTCAGTCGGCACTCCTTTGAATTTGGTGTTCTCCTGAATTCAGGTGGCTGAGCTGCAGAGACGCTTTGTTCTTAAGAGCACCTAGGCAATTGCCTGCCTGAGCTTCGGGTTAACTAACACCAGGATGACAGCCTGAACAGGGGCATACATCATCAGCGCATCATAACACACATGCAGAATGACAGAGCAGGTTTGGGAAATTTTAATTATAAGTATGGTGTTTGCCACATAAAATGAAATGTAAAGGAATAGGAGGGAGAGCACTGTCCCAGCTGCCTAGCAGTGAGCTTCCATCTGGGGACTACTGAAACAATGTCCTTCACCCGTCATCTGAAAAACATGTCTGCAGAGTGATGTGACAATGAGGATGCAACAGAACAAACCAATTACTAAGAAGGCGGTTTGTTGAAAGCCAACTTCCTTTTCTTGGATCACGCTTGTAATGTTGGCTGCTGCGTTGCTCTGTAGTTGCAGAGGGTTTTTTCAATGCAAAGGAAAATAAGGAGGAGATCACTGTTGATCCTCCAAGAAGCCAGGGCAATAACCATGAGATCCTCAGCTTGCACCAAAGAAAAATGAAGTGAGTGCTCTTCACTATCTTGATGCAGTAGAAGACAGAGAGCCAGGCAGTGAGCCAGAATCTGGATAGTGTGGCAAAGACACAAAAGTAGTGAATGCTCTGGGTTATTGAGCTGTTGAGTAAACTGGGCATTGAGCTAATGAAGGCATACACTATGTGTGTGAAGCTGTGAAGGAGAAATTGCACACTGCCAGGAACAGGAGGAGCTGTTCGATGGTGGTCGGGCTTCCACATTTAGCCCATGCAATGATTATCACTGCAGCAATAAAGCCATTGGAGATAAGCCCATCCAGGGCCAAGCCACTTGTCGCCTCTAAAAAGACAATTAACGGCAGTGAAGACATACCTTAGGATCTTCTGGTTCTAGCAGACTAGTGAACGTCACCCAGTCAAAAGATACTGAGCAGAGATGGAAAGTGCAGCTGGCAGACTCTTTAATGCATGAGGAACTGAGAGGGTATGCAAATTAATGGGATTCTCCAGTTACTCATTTCCATAACATTTTTATCCTGGACAATGGTGCTGATACTGACCAGGGCCTGCGTCATGATTTTCTACAGGCTGTAGCTGGTGCTCCATTTTGGAGACTGTGTAACTAAGAGAGCTTGCTGCAGGCACCACCCTTCTCTTTAACAGGTTCAGTTTTTCTTTCCCCATTATACAGTGGTTAGGAGTTTAAGACACTAGTTGAAACAAGGTAAAATTGCATGAGGAAATTGGGCCTGAAAGATGTGTGTGGGACCATTTACGCTCAGACCTTTTCTGCACTGATTCTCAGAAGTGCCCTTGTAGCTTATTTTATTTATTTGTTTGTTTGTTTGTTCAATTTATATTCCGCCCTCCCCGCATGGGCAGGCTCAGGGCGGCTTACAGCAGGTTAAAGTACAATACAATAAATACAATAAAACACAGATGCATTAAACCATGCAGTAATATAAAATTCAGACAATCAAATTTGTATATAAAGTGCTGATGCATGCAGATGGCGATAGCATCTCATAGGGCCATTCTGTGATGGTACTGTGTGTGGCCATATCGGTATCATTAGCTGTTCTTATTACTATCAACATAAGGGCCTTAACAATTCAGATGTTGTCGATCTGCCAGTGGTGACTCCTAATTGAAGGCCTGGTGGAAGAGCTCCATTTTACAGGCCCTGCGGAACTGTGGGAGGTCCTGCAGGGCCCTGATGTCTTCTGGGAGCTCATTCCACCAGTGTGGAGCCACCACTGAGAAGGCCCTAGTCGAGGCCAATCTGGCGTCTTTTGGACCAGGGAGAGTCAGACGGTTTTGTGACCCTGACCTCAGTGCTCTCTGGGGAACATGTGGGGAAAGGCAGTCCCTCAAGTAGGCAGGCCTCCGACCATATAGGGCTTTAAAGGTCAAAACCAGCACCTTGAAGTGAATCCAGTATGCTATTGGCAGCCAGTGCAATGCCTTCAGCACTGGCCGGAAGTGCTCTCATGTAGAGAGGCCCATCAACAGCCTGGCTGCTGCATTTTATACCAACTGCACTTTCCGGATTTGGGACAAGGGCAGCCCCATGTAGAGAGCATTGTAGTAGTCTAGTCTCAAGGTGACCATAGCATGGTTCACTGTTGCCAGGTCATTGCGTTCAAGAAAGGGAACTGTCATGGACTGGGGTGCCAGTCAAAGGGAGTCCAGAACAAGTCAAGGTCAGGAGCCAAGAAGACAGTGCTGAGTCCAAAGCCAAGCCGGGGTCAGGAGCCAGAAACACAGAGCCAAGTCCAAAATCACTAACCAGAAGCGTAGTCCAAAGCCAAGCTGAGGTCAGGAGCCAGGAACACAGAGCCAAGTCCAAAGCCAGGGGGTCCGAAGGTCTAGATGCAAGAGCCGAGCCAGAGTGGATGCAAGCAGCACGAAGCTGACTTGTTGCTTCCACGAAGAGCACTGTGCAGAGTGTGGAGTTAAATGCTGTTTCCAGTTAGCCAGCTGCACAATCACCCAGGCTCCTATTAAAACTCTGGACTAGCTGAGCACCTCCCTTGTAGCCTGACCTCTCTTAGCTTGGTTGCTAAGTTTTGCCGCAGTCGCTCCCTTAAACAAGTCACACGTGGGGGTGAGTCAGGAGGACTTTCAGCTTGCAGTTCTTCCTTCTTATCTTAGCTAGGTGTGAAGACTGCTGTTACAGGCACTTGTCAGCTATCTTCCTCTGTTGCTTCAGAGGGGCCAGCTGTTGTTTCTACAGGCTCTGTCAGCTCATCTTCATCCATGCCCATGACAGGAACCAGCTACCTCATCAGCCAGAGATGGTAAAAGACTGTTTTGGCAGTGGCTGCTACCTGGGCCTCCATTGTTAAGGCAGCATCCAGGAGCACTCCCAAACTACTGACCCTCGGCACTGGCACCAATGGCGCCCCGTCGAAGGTCAGTAGTGGGATCTCTACCCCCGTTCCACTCTGACTCAGGCACAGGACCTCCGTCTTCGTCGGATTCAGTTTCAATCGGCTCAGTCTAAGCCAGCCCGCCACGTCCTGAAGCGCCCGGTCCAGATCGTCTGGGGTCAAGTTGGACTGACTGCCCAACAACAGATATAGCTGGGTGTCATCTGCGTATTGGTGACACCCTA